TCCTGAGAGAGGTCTCGATTTTCTACAAAGTGCATTTTTTTAAATACTTTTGCGTTTTTAATTAAATTATTGTTAATTTACCCGTTCGTTTGTCTATGGTACGAAGAGGGGTGAACAGGAGAACTGCTGTCAAATAGAGGCTGCAACAAAAGTTGCCTATACTAATACTTAATAAAAAGTCTTAATTTACGATATGTATTTTACTTTAACGTATTTAATTATTAATTCGATTATTTTATTTACTTTTTTGAATTTAATGATTTGTTATTAAGGTTTATTGTTTTGCAGTCTTTTTAATATAGGTACCTTATTCGTAGATTTTGTGCATTACGATGTGCACAGTTGATTGCATAACTAAAATTAATTATATACAGAGTGTATGAAAAATGATGATTTAATAGATAAACAATAAAACATTTTCAAAGGAGCAGTACATACTTTCATAATAGTATATTTTCTTGTTTTTGGCATTATGTTATAAACAACTCAGTCTGAGCCTTACTCGTATTACAAAAAAAACATTTCTTAAAATTATAATATCTTTGATGTTTCAGTGCTTATTATTCCTTCAGCTCGTAATCTAGAGAGAATCGGTTCGTAAATGTCTGTTGCAAATGGTAAAATGACTCCACGCTGCTGTATTTCTCCTAAAATATTATTACGTGTAGCACGAAAAAAAAAAAAAATAAATAAAATTGTGTAGGCATTACCATCTAAAATCATTCTAGTAGCTATAGCAGCTGGGTATCCAACAGTTTTTGCCATGGCAGAATGTTCACTAGCATCTCCGTAAACTACCAAATTAATTCCCTTAACTTCCTTTCTGTTATCAGGCCAAACAATTCCTATATCATGCCGTAAAATTACCAGGTCCCTCTCATCTTTTTCTGATAACAAAATATTTTTCGTTTTAATGAAAATAGAAGACACACTAAAGCCAAGTTTTGCCAAGAGCAAATAGGAAGTCCACATATATAGAATTACAAATTTCACCATTCTGCGTTCAATAAGAAAAAAGAGTGCGGCACGATTGGTCATTTTTTTCATTTAGGTAAAACAGTGACATAGGTGGTAGAAATTTTAAATGACCTGACTTATTCTGAACTCGCTCAATATTATTTCAAATAAAT